AATATCTTAAGGAATTACAGTGGTGATTTTAACCAAAAAGAAAAGATAATACTCCTCCAATTCTATTTATATAATAGAAAAATATTAATTTTAATTTTATTTATAAAACTTTTATTATTTTTATATTTATTTTTATCTTTATGCCGCAAGAAGATAATATTTTTTTTTGTTTTTGTTAGAGAGTAGAGATAGAAAATTATTAAATTTTAAGATAAATCATTAGTGAAATTTAAGATTTTCTTTAATTTTAATAAAGCATGTTGAAAATAATTTATAAATAAAATTAGATAGAGTATATCCCTCAAAATTGGTTTTAAATGGTGACGTTGTTGCTATGAAGATGTCAAAAATATTTTTAAAAATATGTTAAAATTTTTATTAACAATATGTGAGGTACTCTTAGCTGCCTCATCAATATCTTGTTTTAAAACAAAGGCTAACAATACAACTATTTTCTCTTTCAAGCTTTATATATGAGATCGGTTAGTGCGGGAGGAAGTATTTTGGATTCAAACGGGTCTCCAGAATGTCCCTCATATTCGAGACAGAAGAGAGTATAAAATTAATGGGGCAGCAATAAACAAAATTATAATTAAATAGTGTGGCTTTTAACGATTGCCCATGCTGCAATTGGCAATGTAACATACAGTATGTAAAAATTTCATTAAAAACAGTACATTCATCTTAAACTCCTGACAACACTATACTATTATATTATACTTTCTAAGAATATCATAATATTTAGCCCTTTTTAATTTCCAATCAATATATAACCATCAATTACAGGTAATAAATTAAAAAAAAAACATTACTGTAATTTAATCTTTCATATAACTGTCAGTTTGCTTTTTATCTCTAATGTACTTATATGCATCATATTGATTAATCAAAGCATTTTTTCATCTTTTTTTCCCCTCCAAAATGATTTGATTACGACCAAGGGTGACAATAGGTTAGATTGAACCAAGCTTTGGTCAAATAGGCCTGAGTCTATATGGTAAATTAAAGGCTTAAGCCTGGGCTGACCTTATATAAAATTTTTTTCATGGCTTATGCCTGAATTTACTTAAAGCGCTTGGCTTGAAAATTTATTTAAAAATTTAATTAAAAGTAAACCTTTTAAATGGATTTGTATTTTAGTTTTAAATGTTTTAAATCAAATATATTTTATGACTATAATAATATATAATATATAATTTGATTTATCAATTACAATGTATAATAATTGAAAGAACTTATCAACTACAATATAATATAACAATAAAGTAACAACATTGAGATTAATACATATGTTTAATATGATTGAAAATATAACTAAAAATTTTAAAAAAAATAATTTGATTAAAAATCAAATGATGAAATTAATGTGTTTGTACTATATTATATTATATATATATATATATATATGCCATCCTGTTGGACTTGTAGATTAGGCATTGAAAAAATATACCTAACCTATTCAACTAAATCGATTTAATTAAAAACTTAAATTTAATCTGAGTCTATTCAATAAGTAGGTTAGGTTGAATTTAAAATAAATCAAACTATAAACCTTTATTAAAGCTCTAGTCTATTCCTATCCTATTGTTACTTTTTAATTTTTACTGGAGGTTTTAAACGAGACAGTCGGTAAATATATTCTCTTGAAACCCAAAGAACTATAAATCTTGGAATGCAAAAGGATTGAGATTATAAAAGAAAACACACACGGGACCATTTATTTAAGGGGTGTTTGACCTCTTTCTTTCTTTCTTTCTTATTTTTTTTCTAGTTTTTTTTTAATTATTTTTGCCTGTAACGTGTGCTTCTGGGAATCTGGGTCTAAACTACACTCCTGTTCATCAGCATCACCAAACAAGCATCGTCATCATTTTGGTGGATTTAGTGGTGGCATTCTAGCGTACATTTCTCAATTTAAGAAATAGACCCGAAGTCACGATGCAAAATAATTTAATAAAAAAATTAATATTTTTTAAAAAGAATAATTATGCAATAATCTATAGTAAAATTTAAGCATAAAGTGCAGGATCAAAACTAATGTTTTTTTTTATTTTGTTAAAATGGTGCAAAATATAAAAAAATAGAGTGTAAAATTATAAAATTTAAATGCCCCACTCAATAATTTTTTTCCAGAATGAGAGGTGGGCTCCCTCTCAAACTAATGTTGCTCTACAGCACCTAACACCCCTTTTATGGTTCAATAAGCAATCATTTTCCAAAGAGATGAGGATACTATTTATTCAGCCATCGTATTCATTCACTGTTTCTCTCATGTCTCTGCCGAGCGCCCAAGCCTACAATATGTATTATGGGATTTGTTTCGATATCATTAAACTATATTATTATATTTATTTAAAATATCATTCTTAAATTATTATCCTGATTCTAATTATAACCCTAGTTCAGAGTTTTTATCTAATCCTATTATAATTTTGAAAATGTTCATTATTTTTCCTTAATTTTTAAAATATTTCTTTCAGTTCCTATCGTTATATACAAACTTATGACTCTATATGTTGTGTTAGAAGCATAATATATTAAGATATTTCAATGAATCGGTTAAATATATATAACAATATGCACGTAATAATTATACTAAGCAGTTGGGGGTTTAAATTCAAATCCTTACACATGCAGAAATTTAACTAGGAGATGTCTACAATTTACCTTCCAAATCTCGTGGAGATAATATCTGCTATCAGTGAATTCTACTCTTTATGCTATATCAAAAAAGAAATGAAAACTTTTTGTAGAAATATTACATTTCAACCATTGGGAAGGCGATAATTTCCAGGGACATCTAACTGAATAATAAATTTATAGGAAGTGAATCATTTATCCTTTGTGGATTATATGACTTGTCAAACCAAATGCAAGATATATTATTAAAAGGAAATCGAATATGTTTTTAATATTATATTGATATATTATTGATAGATTCAATAATTAATAGATATGTATATGTACTTTCCAAACAACTAAATAAAATTTATAACTCAATTAACCGAGATTTTTATTGAAAGTTCAATATTTCAATAAAAAAAGTTAATGATAATAATAGTGTTTGCCAATTAATTAAACATCCTCCACTTGCATTACACATGTTAAAGTAGTACAATGACAAGAAGCCTAGAGCCATCCACCGCACAATCAGTCCCTCTGGTCTGATAGGTTTTTTACTTTTTAATATATAGATATATATAGACACACTCACAAACACATGATGAAACGTCGTCAATTAATAGTAAATTTTTTGTGTCGGCTCTTTATTTGTTTGTTTGTTTAAACCAGAAGCTCTGTGAAAACGTCAATTTAGAGGCGCGGACGCATAATATGTCTTAGATTAATATATATATATATATATATATAATGTTCGATTTTGAGATCAGCAGTTCAGCACTGACAGTTTGTGTGTGTGTGTGTGTATATAAAATTTATTCCCAAATCCCATGGTCCATGGAGATATTTTAACTAGGATTTTGTCATTGTAATTTGGGGCCATATATAATTATATAAATTCATTTATGGCTGAAGATTAATATATAGTATATTGATGAGGAAACTTTTACAGCGTCCACACAACTTGTAATATTATTTTATCTATGTACTAACTGTGTTATATTTTATAAGATATTTTTTAAGGTGATTTGATGTTTTGAAATATAAAGTATTTTTTAAACATAAGATTTTATTAATGATAATAATTTCAATATTACCCATCATTATTTCAATTCTTGAAATTTTTTTGACTCTCTCTTTTATTAATAAAAAATATTTTTAGAAGTTTATAGAAACATTAAGATTGTAAACGGCATTTAATATAATAAAATTTATTGAAATGTATATTTTTGCCTAAAAACATTCTTCTTGATTTTATTTATAAGGCAAGGAGAGAGAAATGTTTTTGCTTTTATTTATAAGTCATGTTATCACATTATTACTTTTTTTTTATCACAAATTTATCCTTTCTCCCTCCATTATATGCTGTTGAAAAAAATATATTATCAAACTATTATAATTAATAAGAATAAGGTTGAAAATTTATTATAAATTTAGGTAGAGTTGATAAATTTTAAAATTTTTTTTAAGTTTAATGAAATATATTAAAAGTGACTTATAAATAGAAACAAAGATGAGTGTTTATCTCTTAGACATCATTGCAAGATTCAATTTATAGATATGTGTATGAAAAAATGTCATTTGAAAGAGGACTACTTCTAAAATGATGACGTTTAGATTTATCAAGAGATTATTTTTTTTAACTGTCGTTTACGGAGATACCTTGGAGTAACAAAAAAAAAAAACAACAAAGAAACAGACGAGTACTCAACGATATAAATTAGGACGGAGGAAGTATTATAAACAAATGATCGAAATTGTGTATATGATGGAGTCTTTAAGATTTAATTAAACGGATGTTATAAATTCTTAAAAATCCACTTTGGAATTTAAGAGGGGGGAATTAGTTGATGACGGTAGCCATTTTGCGACGACCATAAACAGGATAACATTTTGATTTTGGTAATTAATAATACATCAGAACTCCAACAACTCTTTATTAAATTAGCCGACACCATTTAACACCATTTAATAAAATGCATCTTCAAAATTGGAGAAGAAAAAGCAGCCTATATTTTATCTTTATAACCACGATTATTCAATAGACTTTATTCAGATTTTTGGACAACACTATTATTTAGTCCATGTTAAAGATAGATTTCGGGTTCATATTACTTTGCTATTACTTATTTTTAAAAAACGAAATTGTATGTTTCAACTGAAAAGAATACGTAAGGAATGTGAAAGGATTAGCTTTTTTATTTGAATCAATTAATTGATATTTTCTCTCAATCTTATCATCTTCAACCCAAATACATACGAAATATAAATGTTTTAAAAAAATAAATTGAGCAGAATAATTAAATTTATTGTTTCTTCCCTTGATCATGCATAACTATAGCCAGTATCCAAAATGATGGAGTCAACAAACTCACAGGAAATTTCAGTTTCAAGTTAGATGAGATTAATTACTAATACTATAACAAACATACAATTGATTTGCCACATGGCAGGTTATGAAGCCATTGTAATGTACAGTGAGTTTGATTGACAGTGCGAGAAGATGAACGCTAGATATCTTCACACTCAAGAGAGAAGGCTCAGAAACTAATTAAAGCATTTTTGACCTAACACGAATAAAAAACACACAAAGACCCTCGAGCTAAGAACAACTAAAACTAGCTGGTTGATCCAAATTTTTTTTTAAAAAAAAAACTCCTACATACAATCTTTTGTACGAAATAAAGAACAATGAGACGATAAAAAGTTACCGATCAAGAGGCTCGACGACATATGGACCAGAAACATTAGGAAATTTTTATTGTCTCATTGAACACGCAGCTATGTTAAATTATTTAGAAGGTAGTAGTCTGATCTAGAACTTGTCTTTGGCCAACTGAGCTGCTGCTGTCTGAAACAGGTCTGCTGCAGTTTCCTGAAGCGACATGGTCAACAGATCTTCATGGCCCTGCGGCGCAGCAGCATCATCAAAGAGCCAATTCTCCAGAAGCGTGAAAGGCACGTGAGTATCCAAATTCGGCTTGCTTTCTCCCTGCAAGAGGCTATTACTCTCTGTAGACATATCAGAATTATTGTTCACGTTATTGGAGGTTGAGTTATTGAAGCTCAGGAGAGAGCTATAGTCAAGGCCTCGATCTGGTGTGGTAGTCCCACTCCCGCTCCGTGCTCCTTCACTCGAAGTCGAACCAGAAACCGAGTTCGGCGTCTTCTTCGTCCAGTTTTGCAGCAGCCGAGCAATATTATCAGCACTTGACGCGTACGACGACGGTGCTGCTTGTTCTTGGTCGGGTGATTTTGCGGTGATGGGGTTGTAAGACATGGAGGGCTTGCTGTGAGAGAGGGGGAAATCATGAGTTGTCATGATGGGATGATCTAATGGAGGAGGAGCGTCCTTGTCAATGGAGAGAGCTTCACAGAGGGCTTGTTTGGCCATGTGGATGTCGGTCTGAAGCCTTCTCTCCCACTGACCTTTGTTTGGTTGCGAAGACGACGAGAAATATCCACCGCCTTCCTGATCGTTACTGCCACCTTCCATCCCATTCTCTCCCTTCTTCATGAGCTTCTTCTTCAGGTGCGTGTTCCAGTAATTCTTGATGTCATTGTCCGTTCTCTGCGGAAGATAAGAAGCTATGGCCGCCCACCTGCACCCATTATTTCTCGTGACTTATAAATCAACAAGCCTGACTTTTGGATTCTTCATATATATGTGTGTGTGCGTGTGTGCGGGTAACAGACCTGTTTCCAAGAAGAGCTTGAAGGTGGACGATCATCTTCTCTTCGTGCTCGGTGAAGTTGCCGCGTTTGATACCGGGACGAAGATAGTTGGTCCATCGGAGTCGGCAGCTTTTGCTGCATCTCATGAGACCTGGGAGCAGAGAAGTTAAGAAATGAATGTGAAAGAGGGAGGGAAGAGAAGAAGAAATAGGAAGAGAGAGAGAGAGGGGGGGGGGTTACCGGTATTGGTGGGAACTGATCTCCAGTTGCCAGGACCGTGTTGTTGGATGTAAGAGACGAGGACAATGTCTTCTTCAGGAGTCCAGGGTCCTTTCTTAACCCCAATTTTATCACAGCAAGGAGGCCTCCCCATGACGATCTCTCTTTCTTCTCCAGAAAGAAAGCAAGCTGTGGAGATCTTTATAGCGACTCTCTCTCTCTCTCTCTCCCTCCCTTCCCCCCTCCCTTCCTTCTTCTCGGGAACACAATGAAAAACGTCCACGGTTGAAGGTGCCTTGTATATAAGAGGCCGTTTCGTGAGTGACCAGAGCGTGGTGAAACTTGGGAAAGAGTAAAACATGACAAAACGGCCATTCATAATTAAGAACCTTTCTTGACTGTGTTTTTGGCAATTTGGTAAAGCAACATGAACTGATACATTGTTAATAGAGTCGTGGATCATAAATTGGGAATCAAGTTTGAATGGTAATAACAACACCTGACCTCGTGATATGTGCTTGCTCATGACGTGGCTTCCAAGTTTTCATTAAGGTGCCCATGCATATCACAGGCACACCATCCATAATCCAATCTCCGTGTATGTCGGTCGCTGGCTAATTTAATTCTTATTCGTAATTAACTTTTTTTTACCAAGTTATTCGTAATTAACTTCAATTACGTGAATCATTTCTCTTCTTTCTACCAACCACTCAAATTAAACCATCCCATCCTTTTCTTTTGATTTAGGAAAAAGTTACACCAACGGCTTTAATTATAAGTCAAAGTATTTTTATTTAATTTTTATTTATTTATAGGAATATAGGAGTATAATACTTCTCTCTTTTATTAAATGCATAATATTAATTATTATAAAATACTCCCTCCGTTCAAAATTATAAAATACTTTGAGAAGATTAAAATTTTATTGAATTAGTTTATTTTAATATTACCATTTTTCTCTCTCTATTTAATTAATAAAATGTAGATTTAATGTTATTAAATAAAGTATATTTTTAAAAGTTTATATTTTTATTTTTAAAAAATAAGGTTATTAATTGTATTTAATGATGTTTATTGGTATGTAAAATTTTATTTAAAAGTATCTAATAATTTAAAACATAGGGAGTATGTAATAATATATCTAATTATTCATAATAGAAAGCTGGGTTATAAGATTTAATTATGTAGGCACCTGATCTCTAATATTGAAATTTAAATCCTTGATTCCAACAATAATACTCTAATATACTCTATCTGTTTCTATATATAAAAAAACTATATTACACAATTTAAGAAAGTTAGTTAATTATAATTATTATTTAAATATACAGAAATTGAATTAAAATATCTTATATTAATCAACATAAATATGCATTAATTATTTTTCATTAACATAAATTAAGAGAAAAAATTTTGAAAATGTGTAATAAACATTTATTGAAATATATGATTTTACTTATATAAAAAAATAATTAAAAAGTGATAATTTCTCTTAAAAATATAACCAGAGGGAGTAATTCAATAATACTCCCTCCATCCCATGTTAAAAGATACTTTTGGAGGAGGTTTGACACTCCACAATATAAGATACTTTAACAAAAATAAGATTTTATTAATGATACATTTTTAATATTACATTTCATATATTCTCTCTCTTTAATAATTTTTCATAAATGGAGTATTAAAGAGGGGTATTTTTAAAATTTTACGTTTTTGTTTTTTTTTAAAAAAGAAGGTTGTGAAGTTTGTTTATAATGAGCTTAATTTATTGGTATATGTAATTTTGTAATATTTACCAAATATTGAATAATGATATAAAAAATATAGCTAGAGTAATCATATGGTTGGGTGAACGAATAAAAGGGATTCATTTTCTCCAAACAATTTTGAGAATTGAAACGTGGTGAAGGGGAAAAACCAGGTTGAGAGAGTTATTTGTTGAGATTGAATTGAATAAAAATAACCAAATGCAGTCTGATGATGAAGTAGCATAGAATTAATATTTTGATTGAGCTGCGTCGTGATTTAAAGAATGGGTGCAGTTGAGAAGTAGAGATGAAAGGGTTAGCTTAAAGAACAGGCCCATGTTAATTTGTTTGCTCATTTTGGACTCGGGACCATCCATCTCCCTCACCAACACAATAAGGTCAAACCATCAAAGGCCATTCAGTAGTGAATTCCTATTTTAATTTGATTGATTAAGCTGTGTGTCTCCTCTCTCTGTTCCTTCCACAGGCAACTCACCACACATATACTCTACTCTATTGAATACTAATAGCAACCTATAACGCAAGTCTATTTAATCGGTACTCCATTGTTTAATATGCTGTAGCCTTCTCTCGAACTTCATTCGCTGAACGCATATTAAAGATGTGGCCTCACTTTTTCACATCACGCCTGCTCACTGAAACTGTCATGCCTATTTTACGGACTATAGTGCACACTCACCATTGGCAGTATTACAAACTTTTTCTCTAATCCCATTTTTTATGTGCATTTTTATTCTTTTATTCTTATTAGATATTAAAAATAAGTTATTAAAACTGATTTTTTTGTCTTTATTAAGAATAGAAATGAAACTTATTAAATTTTAATATAAAATTAATAAATTTAAAATTTTCTTAGTTATGATGAAATATGTTGAAAGTAACCAATTATAAATAAGACTAGAAAAGTACTTTTAATCCAATTACATATTCTAATGAGTTAGTTAATTATCTTTTAAGTTATACATTTTTTTAATGTCTACCTCTTATTTAATAGGATGTCTCAATTTAAAAACTCTACTAATAACACCCATAATAAAATTAAACTTTTAATATTCTCAAATTTGTTTTAGTTATCAGTCGAATCCCTTAAGTTTAACTTTTATCCCTTTGGTTCGTTAAGTTTACATAAATTATTGATTTAGTCTATATTATTTAAATAGGAGATAACACCATTTGAATTTGCTGATATGTAGCAGAATATTGATAGTAGTCATATGTTTAATAAAAAGAAGTGCATTTATTTATGTAGGAAACATAGACTCAAATTTTTTAAAAAAATAAAAAAACAAAATGCAGCGTAAGGGATTAAATTAATAAAAAATAAACAAATTTGAGAATTAATTTATTCTCATTTAGCTACATATATACATGCATGACAAGTAATCAAAATACTTTATATATTAGATTAATTTGAGAGTAAGTTTATTTTTTAAACTTAAAAAACTAACATGTGAATTTAAAAAAAAAGGCAAGGAAATAAGTTGATAAAAATTAAATTTGAAATACCAAATCATTGATTGAGCCAAGCGTGAAGAACGAAAAGTTTGATTGCCCTATATTCAAAGTTAAAAAACCCAACATGCCTTTTAGAGAGAGAGAGAGAGAGAGAGAGAGAGAGATAAGTCTTGATTATTGAATCTCAAGGATCATGGTTAAGGATGAGAACATAAAGTAAGGAGACATAAATAGAAAAGAATGATGGAGGAGGAGTGTGATTAAGAGGTGTTTGGAAGGGGAATGAAATTTGGATGCAATATGTGGGCAGGATTGAGAGGCCGAGGAGGGATATGCATGCAACGGCTTTTCTGGACCTACCCTCCTTCCCATACTCTCTCATCACCTTCATTCATTTCCCACCTCAACCTAAACCAACCATTTCAATCACGCCCTTCTCCTAATTATAATGAAAGCACGTCTTCAATCCACCTCACCCATATACATTCCCCACTTCATCTTTTTTATTCATTATCACTCCCCTCTTAATTAAGTTTTTCTTCCGCTTCCCTCATTCATTTTGGTTAATTTCTCTCACAAATCCCCCTCACCCTTGGCCTCCATTAATTATAGTCGAATCTTCTAGTCCTTACTCCATGGACAAGCATTTCAGTCATTTTTACAATATAAAATCATTTTTCTTTTTTAATTTGACTACCAAAACATTAAAGCCACGGATGACGATGAATTGAAAAAATTATCAATATTAAGAAAAGCTTTTCATTCACTTTTAGTGAAAATATATCTCGTTTTCTTGCTATAAGATCTCGCTGAAAAATCGAGTTTTGTTTTGTTTTGTTTTGTTTTTTTTTTTTTGCGGTATGAAAAGATAACATTTCACTTTCAATGTGAACTCACACATGGAATATTGTGACTTGAGTTCAATTTTTTGACATTTATTCAACGGCTGAAGAGAGGTGGGAACTAATGGTTCATGGTTCCGGACTTTTTTTTTTTTTTTTTTGGGTATTGTATACTTCTCCGGTCTGCCTTGCTATTTTTTTTTTTTCAAAATAAAAATCTCATAAATTATCTACACGTGAATTACAAATAACAAACTTGCCTATTTTCTCATAATTCTATTTAGGAACGGATGGATCATATGTATTAGCTTTTTCCTTAGTTTCAATAAAATAGGTTGAAATTAATTTATAAATAGGATTAGAGGAGAATTACTTCGGATGTCTTGGCTAGGTCAAGATCAAAATAATATTATTCTTACTAAAATTTTTTATTCTTTTTTTGTGTTTCACTTCTTAAATAGAGTGCGGAAAATGAGAGTAAGGATATGTGTGAAATCTAATTAATAAGAAAGCCTACTGTCTTAATTCATTAATGAGTTCATTTACTATGAAAAGTCATATTGCCAAACGTGTCACTTGAGGACTTCCATGACAAGAGGATGAACAAAAAATCAAAGGGTTGGAATTCAAAGATGGACTTATTGTCAAATTATGGGTTTTTGCAAAGTAGAACTCCCAGTCTTTATACTTTTGATGGGCTTTGTTTTCGGTCCTGGAATTTATTTTCTTAGGTCCCAATCCTTACACTTTAAAACATTAGAGATGTTGGTCACTTCTACCTTTAGAATCTCCGAGTAGCACGATGAGTTGGAGAAAACGCTGTTAACTTTGCTGATATGGAGGTAACGGACACGTGGCTACTGACTTGTGAATTTCAGGGCAGATATGCTGGAAAAAAATCTGAAAAGATGTGAACACAACCATGGGAAAGGCGGAAGATGAAAATAAAGAAAGCTAGGGCATCGTGCATGTATCGCAGAGCCTATCTATTCCATTGCTTCAATGCGCGATTGATCTTAACCATCAAGAGAGGCAAATTCTAATTGATCTACTAAACCTCTTTCATTCATTCATTACATGATTACGATAAGTGAGCGTCCAATGTTGATATGTCTTTTCACCTAACGATAATGGTAAAGGTTTAAAAGTTTAAAGCTTTTCATAACTCTTTCCCATTGTTTTGTTCCCATCATAATTTTGTTCTGTTATATTTCCAATGGATCATTTTGTTATTGTTTTAAGAGCTTAAAGCTTTTAATTTGTATGCATGGTTCACGTCTTCATTCTCCTGTTCTGTTAAGTTTTAGTTCGGATTTTTGTTTTGTTTTGATTTATTCACAA